CTCTCCTCTCTCCCCCCTTCCTCTCTGAAATCAATAAAAATATATTTTAGAGAAAATAGAATAGAGTGAAGAGTGACAACATTTTGCCTGCTCAGATCGGACCCAACTCAGTCAGAGGAGCCTCACGGCAGAGCAGCTGTGGCTCCCAGCATACGGGCTCCAGAAAGTCCTTTTACCCACGAATTCTCCCCACTCGTGGTCTCGTTCGTGGTCTGCCCATCAAACTCTTCCCAAACTCCTCCTGGGCCATTGGCCACTCGCCACGTGTGGCCCTGCTTCTAATCATCCCTGACTTTCTCTGATGTCAGTGGGGCCCTCATTGCCAGGGTAACCGGGAGTAGACTATGGGCCGGAATCTTGACCTTGAACCCACTTAGCTGGATTCTTGCTCTGTTCCAGGTTCGTCTCCCTCCGAGGCTGTGAGAGGGCACACCCTTCCACCTCTGTCCTCAGTTCTCCTTCCTGTGCTGCTCTCTTCTGAAGTTTGTCTGGGCTACACGTTTTCTCTGGAATGTTCAACTTTCTAACTCAATTCCTTTTGCTTATTTTTAAAAAAATATAGTTTATTGATTTTTTACAGAGAGGAAGGGAGAGGGATAGAGAGTTAGAAACATCGATGAGAGAGAAACATCAATCAGCTGCCTCCTGCACACCCCCTATTGGGGATGTGCCTGCAACCAAGGTATATGCCCTTGAATTGAACCAGAATCGAACCCTTCAGTCCGAAGGCCGACGCTCTATCCACTGAGCCAAACCGATTAGGGCTCCTTTTTATTATTTTTATTTTTTTATATGTATATTTTATTGATTTTTTACAGAGAGGAAGGGAGAGGGACAGAGAGCTAGAAACAGCGATCAGAGAGAAACATCGATCAGCTGCCTCCTGCACACCTCCCACTGGGGATGTGCCCGCAACCAAGGTACATGCCCTTGACTGGAATCGAACCTGGGACCCTTGAGTCTGCAGGCCGACGCTCTATCCACTGAGCAAACCGGTTACGGCAGGGAACTCCTTTTGTTTATTACTAGCCTTTTTTTGGTTGTTGTTTGGCAAAAATACTTAATGAATGGTGCTGTGTGCCTCGCACCAGCAGGACCACCGTGTCTGGCTGTCCTTCTCTGGATGCTGTGATGAAACCATAGACCTGGGAGGTGACAGTCTGCCCCCAGCTGCATGTCATCAAATGGTTTCATCCATTGGTAATCTCTGCCCAAATCATTTGTTTCATCAGAAGTTGTAAAATGGTGGCTTCTAATGTGTCATCCCTTCCACATAGAGTAAATGTAGTCTCCTGTTCAAAATGGTTTTCCTTAACAGTCATGGCTGGGTTTTTTCCCCCTGAAATATAATTTGTGCAAGAAAGGCTGGGTTTAAAGATTTCCTCTTCATTACTGTTAGTTGCCAATTATTTTCTGAAAAAAGGGTCGGTGCCCTTGTTACTTCTCATGATGACCAATGACAGTGATGGCGAACCTTTTGAGCTCGGCGTGTCAGCATTTTGAAAAACCCTAACTTAACTCTGGTGCCGTGTCACATATGGAAATTTTTTGATATTTGCAACCATAGTAAAACAAAGACTTATATTTTTGATATTTATTTTATATATTTAAATGCCATTTAACAAAGAAAAATCAACCAAAAAAATGAGTTCGCGTGTCACCTCTGACACACGTGTCATAGGTTCGCCATCACTGACCAATGACCACTCGCTTCTTTCTTTCTTTTGTTTTTCTACCACACGTTTCTTGATCACTGTGGGGTCTTCCTTGTCTTTGCTCTTGAGGAGCTTCAGTGTCTACCGAATCCTGAGAAGACACTGGCAGGAAAGACGGAATGGAATGGTCCCTACCTGCCTGTGAGGTGCCTGGGGAAGTCACTTAGCGCGGTTGTAAATGGCCCTTCATGTTTGTTTAAGGTTAAGTAGGTGTCTCAGTCCCTCTGGGTGCATTTTCCCCCTGGGAGGAGGGGGCGGTGTCTGATCGTTCCCTCTCTATGTGTCTAGGACAAGTTGTGCAGCTTGAAGGGAATGGAACCTAGTTGTAGACTGAGTAGATGTCAACTTAGGGTGGTCATTCTTTCATTCTTTAACCTCAAGTCATAGCTGTTTTCTTTGTTTTCTTCTAGACGGGAGCAGTGTGTGTTCTAAAGCCAACCTTCGGACACCAACTGGGTGCCCTACAATTCAACTCAATTCAATCCTGAGCCTCCCCGGAGTTGGTGCAGACCCCACGGCTCAAGGGCAAGGTCCCAACAAGACTGTCCCCTCTTCACTTCAGATGCCAGTCACAAGCGGGGTCCCCAGACCACTTGTACTTCTGTCTAACTTGACTCCAAATTCATGTTCAGTAATTCACCAGAGTGACTCGTAGAACTCAGGAAAGCATTCTACCTGCAGTCACCGTTTCATTGTCAAGGGCACAGAGGAACAGCCAGGTGAAGAGGAACATCGGGGGTGAGGTCTGGAAGGGTCTTGGGCAAAGGAGCTCTGTCCCGTGGAGTCAGGTTGTGCCATCTTCTCAAGACATCGATGCATTTACCGACCAGGAAGCTGCTCGAGCCTGGCCGTCCAGAGTTGTTATTGGGTTTCATTGGAGAGGCAGGAGTGATTCAATCCTTGGCAGGAGTGATTCAATCCTTGGCCACATGCTTGAGCTCAGTCTCCAACCCTCCTCCTCTTGGGAGTTCAATCCTCTTGGCATTTCTGGCTTGATCTTTCTGGCATGGCCAACCCCTCCCTGAAATGTAAGAGCCCAGACCTCATTAGCATAAACTCATGGCTGGCTGGCAGGGGCTCATTATGAATACAAGACGCTCCGATAGGAAACTGCAAGGGTTTTTGAAACTCTGTGCTAGGAACTGGGGGTAAAGACCAGGCATATTCTTTTTTGTTTATTTTTAATCCTCACCCCAAGGATCTTCTTCCCACTGATTTCTAGAAAGAGTGGAAGGGAGGGAAGAGGGGGAGAGAGAGAAACATTGAAGTGAGGGAGACACGTCGATTAGTTGCCTCCCACACGTGCCCCAGGGGTGGGGAACCTTCAACAAAGGTACATGTCCTTGACTGGGAACCGAACCCATGACCCTTCGGTCTGAGGGCCTACGCTCTAACCACTGAGCACCCGGCCAGGGCCAGACATTTTTGTTTATTACATGGCAGTTGGCATACATGACAGTAATAAGACTTCCAGAGGATACATATGAGGTTAAAACACTTAGATCTTCAAGTACCTTTGAAGGAAAAGCCAGAGGATAAAGCCTTTAGATTTGGCAAAAAGATACTATGGGTGCGGGACTAAAGGTAGGCTCAGGAGGAGGAAACAGGAGATAAATATATTCAACATTTGTAATCCAAGGCTTAGGAGAGTTTGAAGGTCTTAAAGAGGCTGATTTACTACTGGCTTAGGAGGCCTTGGATCAGCAGGCACAGGTAGGGTTTGAGCCCAGAGGGAGGGGGGTGCGGTGGGAGATTATGAAAGCAAGATCACTGACTTATGGGAACCAAGGGGCAGGTCAAGGGCTTCGCGCTCAGAAGATGGAAAGAATCCTCTTCTAAAACTTGAAGGAAAAGGGAGGAGCTAATGGGAAAAATACGGATGAGAGCAAACATTTTTAATAAAGCAGGCCACTCATGGAGTGAGAGCCCAGCAAGGCGAGAGCGTACGAGACTTTCTGGGAAGGACATGGCAGTCTTGATTTGAAGAGGCGTCCAAGAAACCAGGGAAGGAGTTTGGGGGTGGGGGGTGGGGAGAAGGGATCTGGGATATGCATTTACACAGTGAACTGATTCTTCAAAAGCACTTGCCAGGTGACCTCGAGAAGTTTCTCCGAGCATTTTCAGTCTAGGATTCCACGACTTCTGTACGAGAACATCTCGTTGATGACAGGACCGACACCAGCCCCACAGCTTCCCGGTGTCTGCACCGTCTAGAAAGAAAGAAGTGACATGTGAGAATAGTACGGGTTCTAAGCATTCAAACCCCTTGGTTAAAAGGGTCAGGAAAAAAAAAGAAGAAGGCAGTGTATCTGAGAGGGTAAAATATTACCAGGGATAATTTTGGGGTGCTTGTTGATAGCACAGATCTTGATAACTACAGTTGACCCTGGAGTGGAGTGAGGAGGGCTGTTTTTTTCAGGCGATTTGGCCCCCACAGGGCATGAGGCAATGTCTTGAGATATTTTTAATGGTCACAACTGGGTGGCATCAAGTGGGTGGAGACGGGATGCTGCTCAACATCCCATAATGCACAGGACAGCCCTGTGGTGAAGAATTACCTGGCTATCTGGCCCAGGATGTCACTAGTGCTGAGGCTGAGAAACCCTGCTTTGACGGGACCTTGAGCAAGGTCCTGGCGGGAGAACCAAGTGTACAGGTGGCAGGTGTCCTGGTGAGAGGGGCACTAGGAGCAGGTGTGGCAGACGCTTGGTTGCTGACCCAATCCCATCGTGGCCCCCCCTCCTCCCCCCCACTTTGGAGTCACTTTTAAGTAGCAGATGCCACAGGACGGCTCTGGGCACTGACATGAAGAGAACTTGCTGGATGAGGCTTCTGAGAAGATGCCCTTGAGCAGGTACCTTTCCCCTCCTGTCCTTCCTGCCTGGACGGTGAACCTGCCACCTGGAGGTCCAGAGGCCCTTTCCGGAGACATCGTCACATCGAGGGGGTAGGGACCAGGGATGACGCTCAGCATCTGACACGGCCCAGGACAGTCCCCACCACAAAGAACGATCCAGACGAAATGCAAATGGTGCCACAGCGGGGAAACTGCTCACGGGGAAGCATTTAGGGGAGTCCTGGGGTGCCTGCCTTGGGATTTAGGGGAGTCCTGGGGTGCCTGCCTTGGGATTTCTTACAATGGGAAGAATCACAAACAAACAATGCCCGAGCCCCTGACGTGGGTGAGCTGTCACTTGTGGTTGAATAAATTCCAAGTGGTGACAGCAGGAGAAGCTCTTTGATGGAAGCCTGTCACGGAGCCATCCCCAGACCAGGCTGCCTGGAGGTTATTCTTACCGGCACTTTCCACGACGGGACGGGACCTCCAGTTCCATCCTTGAAGCAGAGGGAGGAGGACAGCCATTCGGCAGCTTCGTTCGCCAGACGATGCCAGCACCAGCGGTTCCCTCCGCCCACGTCGCCGGTGGGATCGGCCGGGTCCAGGATGACCGGCCTGGAGGAGGGGTTGGAGGCGTTAGGGGCCCGCTTCTTAGAGTCAGTGGTCTCAGGGTTGGGGGCCCATCCTCCTCTCAGCAATAAAGCAATGTGTCCTTACTACTTGGACGTCAAGAATTCAGGGTACTAATACTGTGCAAAGTAATCTTCTGGAATTAAATAATAATTGTCAAAAATGTTTTGAAAGCTACTAATTATTATAGACGTGAGGGCGTCATACAAACATCTTCTCCAAGCCAGGCCAACTGACCGATGACGCATAATCATAACCCAATGGAATGTTACTAAGCCGGCCACTCCCATGGTAGGCAACCCAGGGTGTCTTGTTCTCTCTTTCTTCTTCCCTAGACTCTCCCCATGCTCCTTCCTTTGCTCCCATTTCCTTTCCTTTTGCTTCCGCTGCTTTTGTCCCTGGCTGGTGACTCCGAGCAGCTGAACGGAGGTGCCTTCTTATCCTTGGAGGATGAAGGTTTTGGGGGATGCGGTGCTGGAAGGGGAGGTGAAACCTGACAGTAACACGCCTGTAGGATCCATCAGCCCTATGAATGACACTTAGTTCTCAGGCACACACTTGCCCCCGCCTCGTAGGCGGTAACGAATCCCACTTCTCCTTGTGACCGAGAAGGATGGATGCCATGCAGGGACCTGGAGCCTGGGGCCTCCGCCTGTTCCTTCTGGGTGACATTTCCTCCCGCCTCCCGGGGGCTGTATCTCTGCAGGAGGCTCTGTTGGTTGGCACCCCCTCCCGCAGTTTCACTGGAGGAGGATGAATCAGGCCCCCACAGGAGGAGGAGCCAGTTCGCGGAGGGAGGGGTGGAGGGAATCAGGGTGAGGAAAGGGGAGGGGAGGAGAGGGGCACCTGGGTCTCTGGAGCTGCTTCAGTAGGAAGTTCCTCACAGTCTCATTCTCGAAGTTGTAGTTGACTGTCCAGAAGACACAGAGCTGCTGATAGCGGGTGACCAGCTCCAGGACGTCCGGAAACCTTGGGCGGTGTCAAAACTTGTGGCCCCGCTGCCCTGCTCCCAGGCGTAGATGGTGAGCAGCTCCAAGGCGTACTTGGGGGGCAGCGACCCCTTTTTCTTCAGTCTCCTTTCACACTGAGGGAAGAGGGAGATCGTCAGATGTACTGCCGAGGCAGGGAGGCGCACTGTACATTAAGGAGCCACGGAGGGTAGCGGAGGCAGCAGAGTCCT